TAGCTGAGAATCTTGACACTAATGGACAGGTTGATATTATATTTACACTGACTTTAGTAAAAGCTTTTGACAAAATTGATCATAACATTCTTCTTAATAAATGATCTAAGATTGGTCTTAATTTTTTTACTTATTCACTTTTTTAAGAGTTATCTTCATAATCGTAAACAGTTTGTCTATCTTAATGGATTCTTGAGCAACATTGAAAATATTAGTTCAGGTGTTCCTCAGGGATCCATTCTTGGTCCACTACTATTTATTATTTTTTATTAACGACATATCTGATATTATTAGCTGTCCACATTTATTATTTGCAGATGATCTCAAACTATATCTCAAAATAAATTCTATTGATGACTGCTTATTATTACAGTCTCAACTTGACTTCTCCACTCTTGGTGTGTCTATAACAAATTACATTTAAATATACAAAGTGCAAGATTCTTAGTTTTCACATAAGCGCGTAAGAATAAGATAGATGTAATAAAATTTAAGATTTAGGAGTTTTATTCGATTCTGGATCATATAGCTGATATTTGTAATATAGCACATAAATCTTTAGGTTTGATACTGAGCAATTGTAAGAAATTGAATTCTAACAATGCACTTCTTTGCATGTACTATTCTATTGTATGTTCAAAATTAAAATATGGTTCGATTATTTGGTATCCTCATCAAATCAACAACTCTGATGCGATAGAGAAGGTTAAGCGAAAATTTCTGAAATATCTTTATTATAAAAGATAAAAAAAATTACCCTGAACGTGGTTTTGTCTAGGGTTTATCCAAAAACCGACATTTCAGAAAACCGGTTTTCGAATTTTACTTTTACCAGAAAACCGGTTTTCGAATTTTATATAAAAAATCAATTTTTGCTCGAATATTTTGTAATAACAAAAAAATTCCGCAAATTTAGTGAGATTTAAAGCAGGATTTGATTGAATTTAATTATTGTTCAATTTTATGGATAGTAAACAAAATTATTTTAATTTTAATTAGTAGAACAAAAAAATAATAGTTTATCTGGATTAAATAACTTTGAAAATAATCATTCGTTATTATATATTTATATTTTATGATAGCGGATATATATTTTTATATACGGAAAGTTTTCGAGTAATTGAAAATAATATATTTTTAAATAAAAAACATTTATTAATTTAAAAAAAAAAATTAAAAATATTAAATACATGTTGATATATATTTGTTTAATATCAATTTTAGGCCAAACCCCGAGTATTTTCTATTCCGAGCAATTTTTATTAATTAATTTAAAAAATTCTAATTATTTTTTTGTTTGTTTAATAAAATATGATTTTAAAAAACTGAGAATTATCGATTTGTTACTTAGACGTATCCTTTGTATACTCACAAAATTTCAAAAAATAGAAAATACTCTCTCACTTCCGACCAAGCTAGATTTGTTTTTTAAAGCCTGATATATTAATTCATTAGTTTTTTGTTCTTTTATTTGTGTCTTCTAGGGCTCAAAACTCTTATTTTTTTTGAAGTTTGAATAGAGGAAGTTACTTCTTCAAGACGTCACACTGATTTAAATTATTATACATACTGGTATAAATATCAAAATTAATCTACATATTCACTTAGACAAAAAGATAACACAAAACCTTTCTGGAAACCATAGAAGGCTGACAGGATTCCAAATGCTGTTAAACCGATATGATTCCAAGAATCAAAACGTTTGAAACTATCTTTTAAATTTGGCTATATTTGTCATTTTTCATTTATACAATGAAAACCGACTTTTCTGCTAAAAAATCGGTTTTCGAATTCCATAATTTTCGCCAAAAAAACGGTTTTTGAAAACCGACAAACCCTAGTTTTGACCACAACACTTTACTAAAAGAATTTTGTATTCCTTCCCTTGCCTCATGTCGATTTATCTGTACAATTATGTTCTTATTTAAACTTTGCAATAATTGTATAGACTGTCCTCTTATTCTTAACCAACTATCCTTTATTGTTCACAATTATTTTTCAATTATCCTACTCCTAAATCTAATTCTCTCTTAAATTCGCCTATTTTACTTATGTCCTCTAACTTTAACTTGATTAATAATGAAATAGATATTCACAACACTTCACCTAATCAAATAATCTCCATCTGCACAAGTTAACCTTTTTATTTTCTTTTCAAATATCTCATTATTTTATCTTATTCTGTTTATAAATAATATCGTTACACTCTGCATTATATGTAACTGTATGTTAAGCATTTTATGTTAATAACTATATATTGTAATTTTGTATATATTTTAATTGTTATTCATTATGTAAAATAATTGTATTTTTGAAGTCTCTTGGAAGAAATCTGTGGGCTATATATTTAAAATAAATAAAATTTGCCTCAATCCCCAAATATTCCATGTATCTATTACTACAACAAAATTCATTTCCCCCCCAGGTTTTCCATCAACCTCTGCTGCGACCACAATTTTCCCCCCAGAGAAGTGGCCTACCACAGCAAAACTATATTCCCCGCTTCCGAGGGGGACCCAGATGAATCCCACATAGTGACAAATCAAAAAGTGGGGAACGAGTGGCAACAGCAAAGTGAGCCCCATTCCAACCCTTTTCGGCCAGGGGCGGAATTCACCATCAGCATACATTTGGAGGAGGATGGCATCGTCACATATGAGGGACATAGTAATTTTGTGCACGAATGTCTGCATTCGCACGATGTGGGTGATATTAAAAGTGTTCAGGTGTGGCATGATGTTAGACATGTGAGGGAATTGACTTTTAGGTTCGCGGAATAGGATAGAAATAACTCCAACCTAAGGCATTTATATTATAGATCAGTAAGTCTACCAATTAGGTCATTCTTTTACAAACCGTACCTTGACATTTTAGAATTGGCTGAAATTTTTTTACAGATATCATAGATAAAATCATTTGACACGTATTTCAGGATTTTGCCGGCAACAATTTTTTTTCGTTGATATTTACAATTGAAATATTTGCAATTATTTTAACAATAATAACAATTGATTGTTTACATTGGTTTTACGTACGCGCGCCCCAACTTAAATCGATTGCGTAAAAAATCATTTTATTTCTTGTTTTATCTACTACAAAATTATTTTTACAAATCGATGGAAAGGCTGTTACATCGGAAGATATTGAATGTTTTCGAGCGCAAGTCGCGCCGCGCGTCCGTTTGAAAGACGCACCGATAAAGTAGTTTTTTTTTTTAATATAGATTCCCAAAAAATCACCTAGCGGTTACACTAGTTGTGCCCCTTAAGGCATTTATACAAAAACTAAATTTCGTGTGAATCAGAATGTTTTCCAAAATATATGATGTACTCCAATTGTCGTGATTTGGTCGAAGTCAATTTGGAACCCTTAAGGCATTTATATTATAGATTTACAAGAAGGAAGTTTACAAAAAATGTAAACCGTGCATAAAACAGAATCCAAATATTAGGGATTTCTAATAATTTTTTTAAGGCATTTGTGTTGCAAATAAAAGATTTGACCATGAAGATAAAACAAACTTCAATTATCAAATTTTTGTTAACGTTGAAGTCAATTTTAAGGTCTTGACCTTAATCAAAAAACTACAATTTTTACAAAACTATTTGGAAGCATTTATATTCTAGATAAAAAGTTTATGTTAGAATATTATGTTTAAATTGCTCTTTTTAATTAAATTGCTCTTTTAGTACCCCAAAGTTGTAATCCGTAGGTCCACACGGGTTTGATCAA